TAATTCCTTTGTCATAAGCACTTCATTCTCTATCATGCTAAGTGTATAGTTGAGTGCGAGAGAAACATCCTGAGTATCCGGGAAACATGAAGAGTCGTACAGCTTGGCTGGCTCAGGAACCACTCAAAGGCAAGTTGGGATCTGCAAAGGACCTGAAGATAGCTGGTTTCCAGATGGTGAAGCCAATTCTTAACAGGAAGACTCCAGGTCAGACTCTTCAGGACCAAGGTCAAAGGACACTTAGTGCAACACTGCCAGGTTGGTCGGCCAGACATGGGCTATGTTGTACTTCTCTTTTTCTTTGCTTCTTTGAGACAGGGTCTCACCATATAGACTAAGCTGGTCTTAGATAACTCAGCAATCCTGACTCTCAGCCTCTGGCATGCAAGGATTACTTTTCTTTCCTTCAAAGAATCTAAACAAGAAGGCTGGAGAGATGGCTCGCTCAGTGGCAAGAACACACATCACTCTTCCAGAAGACCTGAGTTCAATCTCAGCACCCATGTCATGTGCCTCACAACCACCTGAAATTCTAGCTCCAGGGAATCTCACCACCTCTTCTACTGCGCATGTGCACACACACACACACACACACACACACACACACACACACACACACAGACACACACACACACACACCCCTCACGACTTCTAGCACACACACATGCATGCACACATACACTCTTAGTTAATTCTCAATTGCTATGACCAAAACATCATGACCAAGGCAACATATTAAAGAAATTTGGGGCTTAAGTTTCCAAAGTCCATGACCAGCATGGTAGGGAGCATGGCAAAAGCAGGCAAGCATGGCACTAGAGTAGTAGCTGAGAGCTCACTTCTGGAATCCACCCACAGCGACATACTTCCTCCAATAAGGCTACCCCTTCTAATCCTTCCCAAACAGTTCCACCAACTAAGGATGAAGTATTCAAACACATGAGCCTATAGTGGCCATTCTCAGACATCACAGAACCTAAACAAGATCACAGTACTTAATGGAGACACAGGAAGTCTGTCCTCTAGCAAAGCTGTTGAATTTCAGAAGACTTCTCAGAGGACAGATGGTTTACTACTATCTAAACTACAAAATCTTATGTTTGCAGAAGCAACTCCTACAGATTTTTGGCTTAGTCTTCAAAGAAACAACATGTGTCACCACAGTGTCCGAAATGACACATGATGGCAAAGAGCTCTACACCTTCCTTACACAGGATGCATGCCAGGGTTTATCTTGCTGGGGCAATGGGAGCAGAACTGCCCCTGCTGCAAATAACTTCAACACTGCACAGTTAGCACTTAAACTCCAAAAAGTCAGTGGCTTAACTGGAAGGAATTCTTGACCTCACTCCAATCCAAAATAATGCTGTCATTTTCATAATAGACAACAGAACTGTAAACAGACTATCTCAGTTAGAACTTACAGCAGCACAGAAATATGTCCATAATAAATTCAAAATGGTATTATGCTACCCAATCAAAGAAAACAGCCAAGGGGGAAAAAGTATGTATTTTGGATTCTTATACTATACTGATGTATATGGGGAGGGGGTGAGGCAATTATAGAGAATATTACAATTATTCACTTAAGAATTACTGAAATCAGCTCTGAAAATAAGACTGAGGCAAAAAAGAAAAAATATCAGAACAATGTCTTCCAGTAAGTGTTTTTTCATCAGTTAAGACTCAACACACCTGCCAACAGACTTTGTACATACAAAGCTCAGCTGCATCTATACTGTTTATAAAGCACATCAGCATTCTTTAGCAACTTCCTTTATAGAACGAAGATAGTAGTTTCCAATATTATCAAGGAAACGAGGGAGGGAGAGGAGGTCCTGAGCTTTCTTTCCTGGGTTGTTTGCAGCATAGATGATCTGGCTGTCATTTTTAGCCAGATCCTGGTTCCATGTTTCTGCAGCAGAAAATGGTAAACTACAGCATATAGATCAGCCTGTAAATAATGTTTTACCATGCTCATCTGTTTACATCCTGTCCCTGGATCCTTTATGCTGCAACAACTGAGCTGGGGCTTCTGACCAAAGAGCCAGGACTGTTCACCACCTAAGCTGACACTGTAAGAGAGGCCTCTGAGTTAGCCTACCTTTGTCTTCCTAACTCCAAACGTAAAGCCCCAGACTGCAGTTTGTTAAAACATGGAGTGACACGGGGGTGATGGGGGAGTTTTTCAGGTTCAGCACAGAAACAAAGGCTGCGAGTCAATAAGCCCAAAAGCTGACATTTGCCGTCCTTTGAAGATAAAATCTTGGTTATTTCTTCCCATATTGTACTTTTCAGTAATTCTCTTAAAAGATACATTCAATTTTTATTTAAAAGATATAAAATTGACTTTAAAATGAAAAAAACTAATTCTAAAAATATGGGTAAGTACACATGAAGAAATATACTCCCCTTTCCATTAGAAGGAAAATGAGTTTTAAAAATTGCAGAGTCTCATATTTCAACCTGCTACACCAGAGGTGCCAGAGTCCAGTACACTGTTCCACTCAGTCTTATTTCAGCATCTCCCTTTGGTGGAAGATCTACCCACCTGAGCCACCACAGCTGCTCAGGCATTGGCTGTGAGGACCATTGTCCCCAGCTGCAGCATAATGATTTCTAAGTCCATGTTATAAGAGCTCTATTAACTTGGTTTTTACTGTACTTCCTATTAAAGCTTAATGCTTACTTAAAAAAAATTAACTTATTTCCCCAGCCCAAAAAAAAGATGTCGGGCAGCTAAGCAATGATACATGATTTGGGTAGAGTAAGCCCATTCAGGGCTCGGCAGTGGTGTGGTGAGTCCTTAGGGCTGCACAGTCCTAGAGGCACAGCCCTTGCCAACGTGAAGTGGAGGGCCTGGAGACAGGGTGGCACATAAACAACGAGGCTTTGAGTGAAGCATATTCTGCCATGAACTTGTTCAGTCTGGTGCAGGAGCTGGGTCAGAGTCCCCCAGGTCCTGACACTCACACCCCGCTATCTGGGGCCTTCCAGCCCTTTGCCATGTAAGCCTTGTTTCTTCCTCTGTCTCCTAATGCTGCCTGGTATCTTCTGCCTCCCCTGGAATGCTGACCCATGTGTTTCCAGTGAGGCTCATCTACCTAACCTCGGCAGTCTTCCTGACAGAAGTCACACGCTACCTTTCATTTCAAACTAGACAGAACCAGTTCCTTTCTCTTCAGGCTCCTTGGCCTCTCTTTCTTACCTGGCTTCTAGCTACCTGTAACGTCACATATCTCCTCCCTTGTGTAAGTTACACCTGCATTTGGTTAATTCTGCCTCTTTCTACACAGTTAGGTTTGAGGGATGGTATGCTCCTTGGATATCTAGTTCAGTCATGTATGGCTGTGCCACTAGGTGCAAAAGAGAATGCCCAGGCCTAGATCCAGGCACACAGTCAGTGGATCTTTTCCAGGCAAGAGACTCCAGGGCTGACCACATTGCTCATAAACCTAGGTCTATACCTCTCGACAGTTTCTATGAGTTTGGGGAAGGACCAGGAAATTGAGTCTGGACTGCCAAGCTGACATGATAAAGACCCAGGCAGGCATCTCACAAAGGGTGCAGTGTGCCAGCACAGCTGTACGGCTCTCATCCAAACCCTTAAGATGGTGGCGAGACTGTGGCTGCATACAGGCTTTCCAGCAGCACATAAATGAAAAGTTGGTACTAAAGACTAGTAGTACAGTGTGGCAAGTTGGACACATGCCACTTGTTGAGAGTGCAAGCAGCCACAGTATTCAAATGCAGGCTGGGTCTGGTACACCACATACATTTCCTTAGAGCATTCCACAGGACTCAAAGAAGTATGGTGGTAGAGGGGTCACTTTTCACTGCTAAGATGAACTCGGATACTATACTTCAAGCAAGAACTGCAGTGACTGCTTTCATAGATAACTTCCTCCTCCCCAATAAAAGTTGGTGAGGGCTAATCTTAGCACTACCTCTGGCTACTCCCCTTAGTGAACAAAGATGTGCACAGGGTGCTCCTGGACACCACAAAGAAGCAAACTGTATGTGACCAGATCCAAGGGGAAGAGCTCCATCGTTGTCTTTTTTTTTCTTAAATTGTTGCTGCCTTTTAAGCCACAGCTGTCTGAAACAGAAACTGCAACTCTGCCGGGTTAGGTCACAAGAGTCACAGCCTGAGGGAATTCTGTTCCCTCAGGCTCTGACTGCTGTGGGATAATGCTTTTGTACACTGGTTTAATAAAATGCTGATTGGCCAGTAGCCAGGCAGGAAGTATAGGCGGGGCAAGCAGACAAGGAGAATTCTGGGAAGAGGAAGGACTGAGTCAGGAGTCACCAGGCAGACACAGAGGAGGCAAGATGCCAAGGCAGAACTGAGAAAAGGTACCAAGCCATGTGCATAGATAAGAATTATGGGTTAATTTAAGTGTAAGCACGAGTCAGTAATAAGCCTGAGCTAATGGCTGAGCAGTTATAAATAATATTAAGCCTCTGAATGATTATTTTATAAGCGGCTGCACGTCCACGGTGGTGGGAGGAGGGCAGGAGGGACCCAAAAATCCTTCTGGTAACATCCGACTCTTTCAGAACTACAAGGGAACTTAACTAAACCTCTGTCCCTCTAAAGAACTCAAGATTCAAAGGTTAAGGTGGAATTCTGCTCTTCAGAGATACTGAATAGCAAGTAGCTCACCTCCTCTCACTGCTCCTATATTCCAAAAAGCCCTTATGCATCTCCTGGCCCCTCCTTAAAAACCCTCCTCCACATGGTTCCTCCCTGCTACCTCCTGTCAGCTAGCTGCTAACACAGCCTCCTGACTGCAGGTGACTGCATCATTAAACAAATGTTCTAGAGCATAAACAAAAGTAACACACCTTAAAATAATATTCTACAACACTCCATCCACCCTCAGACTAGACCCAGGCAAACACCTAGGTCCTGAGACATCAGAACACATGGCACACTGCTGTGACCAGGACAATGCCTTTGGTCCCTGAGATGAAAACCTGGACTATAGGACACTTACCAGCGCAGAGCAATCTTGATGGGAGTGGTGAGACAGGATGTGAACAGGTCGGCTGGGAGGTCAGGGATCATTGGCAAGAGCTCGTGTGCCTCGCAGGCTGCCAGCTGGATGCAGTTTTTCATTGATGGAGGCAAGGGCATCTGGGCAAGTGGATGGTTTGGGTTAATTGCAGCTACCTACAGGAGGACACAGAAAGACAGTGGCTTAGTTGACACTCCTGGGGGAAAACGCTATGCACTGAAAAGGAAGACAGCTGGGCTGGAGAGATGGCTTAGAGGTTAAGAGCACTGGCTCTTCTTCCAGAGGTCCTGAGTTCAATTCCCAGCATCCACATGGTGACACAACCATCTAAAATGAGATCTGGTACCCTCTTCTGGCCTGCAGGCAGAACACTCATTGTATACATAATAAATAAGTCAATCTTAAAAAAAAAGAGAGAAAGAAAAAAGAAAAGGAAGACAGCACCAAGGGAACAAGGCTCTACCCTGGACAAACCTTCCCTCAGTTAAGGCCCTTCCACACCCCATGATGGTGTCAGTATTCACACACACCCTGCCCAATCTTCTGTACTGACCTGTTTAGGTTGAACATTCAGTCCCTAATTTATCATGACATTACTGTGGAGGGTTTAATGGCATGGATTAAAGGTTTGGATAGATTTAAGCATTGCCTCTTTAAGGCAGGGAAAATATGGCATATTTGATATTTCCCTCAGTGACATTTGGTGAGGTAAAAGCCCTGGACTGAGGCCATACTGCATAGAAATTGGAAAGGACTAAACAAAAAAAAAAAATTACTGCATACTTCAATAATGTCCATATCTCTTTTCGGACTTAAAACCAAGTCAAAATTGTACACTTTTTGTTTGTTTGAGGTACTATCTTGCTCTGTATCCCACGCTGGTCCTGAATTCTTCCTGCCTTGTCCTCCTGAATGCTAGGGTTACGCACAGGGATGAGGCTCCATGTTCAGTTGCCGAAGTGAAAATCTTTTAATAAATAATTTAGTGCATTCAAACACTGGCAAGTGACAGGACTGGCTGATATGTGACCTACTCACATTGCCACAGAGAGCTCTGTGCCTGCTGTGTCACCAAAGCAGCAGCAGCCATCGAAACATGCATGACACACCAGAAGCAGCTACATTTCCTATGCACTGTGGCTTCTCCTGCCTCTGCTCTATAGGGTACATTCATGTGATCTGTCACAGGCTCTGCTGTCATCTTCAGAAATAATGAGATTCATAAATCCCATATTTGGTTAGTAAGGCCTGTAAATGTGACATGGGGGACTTCGTGTGCACAATGCTTTGCCTGCTCCTGACTGCTTGTGAGGAACACAAGTTCAGAATGATTTTGCTTTACACAGTGCCCAGCTAGGGGAAGCAGAGCAGCTGTGAGCAATAGCTTGCCTTAAGCAAGCAGTGTGATGCAGATGATAATAGCTGCACACAGGCATGTGGCACTGAGGAAGAGAAATCCCTGGAGCACCAGAGTGTGGGCCCCAAAGCTGCTCATCAGCATCGCAAAGACAGCTCAAGGGAGACAGACCACAGGGCAGAAGGGAAGGCAGGATACTGGCATATGAATTCTCATTAGTGGGCCTGCATGACACACAGGTACCTGAGATAACAGGGAACTCAGACAACACCGACTACAGAGGCCCAGCAGCTTTCAGCAGCCCTCTATGAGTGCCCATGATTGGGCCATAATGAAAAGCTTTCTATTATGGAGCCCCAATTTAACCCAGTCCATCTTGGTTTTGGATCTAGCAAAACAGTTGCGTCTCAAAGTTAATGAACTTTAATGCCCAAGAGAACCTTCTCCCTGGCACAGTTTTATTTACTTATAAGGCCATTTGAGAGCAAGGATCACTCAGTCTCCTGAGTTTCTAGGTTGTTGCTTAATCCTTTGCATTATTAATCCCATGAGACAAGACACCATTGTATTGTGTAGCCAGATGTTTCTCTGGTCCTGACTGGCCCCAAGGTCCAAACAAATCTCTCCCACCCATGGTCCTGCAGCCGCTTATAATTACTCAGAGGCTTATATTAATTACAAACTGTATGGCCTACAGCTTCAGCTTCTTGCTAGCTAGCTCTTTCATCTTAAATTAACCCATTCCTATTGATCTATATGTTGCCACGTGGCCGTGGTGTTACTGGTCTGCTGGCATCCCTCTCCACTCCGCCCTTCTTCGTCTCAACTTCAGTTTGAATGGACCACCTCACCTCACCCTGCCCTGCCAGAGGCCAACGCAGCTTTATTATCCAATGGGAGCCACACAGGCAATCCTGATGGGCACCGAGGAGGGTAGCATGTCAGAGAAGTGTCATTCTAAGTCCCACAACCACCTTTACTCCTTGCTGACAATTCCTTTTAGTTGCATGAATCTTATAGTTCTCAATGCTCTCTTATACACACTATTCATCTACTTCTTCCACTATTCTTATGCGCTAAGTTTTATCTCCATTTTAAAAGAACTCCAGCAATTAGGAAACAGACTTCAAAGAACAATTTGACTGTAATCTTAGCACTCAAAAGGCTGAATGAGGCAGGAGGACCACTTTGAGTAAAGCCAGCCTGAACTACATACTGATGTGGCTATCTTCCTGCTCTGATCTTGTTTTAGGACTTTTCTTGGCCCATTGTTTCTTTTAGAGCAGCGGTTCTCAACCTTCTTGATGCTGAGACCCTTTAATACAGTTTTTCACGTTGTGGTGATCCCCCAACCATAAAATTATTTCCATTGCTACTTCCTAACTGTATTTTTGCTACTGCTAAGACTGGTAATGCAAATATCTGATATGCAACCCTTGTGGGGGTCGAGACCCACAGGTTAAGAAGTACTGTTCTAGACCCTCTTGAGTCTAGCTGAGGCGTCTGATACTGAGGTTACAAGCAGCAGGCTCTGCACCTTTTACAGCAAATCTACACAGCTGTGCCAGCCCCTGGACATACAATGTTAACATCTCATTGTCCAAATGTCGGCTGCAGCATCTTTAATTCCTCCAATGGTGAGCATCAAAAGCATATTTTACCAATTACCCTCTGTACTACAGAAATATTAAGCCCAAAGCCAAAATTCAGACACCTGTATACACAACTGCAAAACAATATAAGCCATTTAATAAAAACATCAGTTTCTAGGGAAATAAGTGTTAAATTCTGTGAAATATAAAATAAGCCACCTTAAATACTTTATATTTTGCCTTACTGGGGACATAGGCAAACACTCTATGGCTAAGCTGCACCCCAGCCACGTGGGAATTCAAATGTACAGTTCAGAATTCAGTGGCTTGAACAATATTACCAAGGTTTTCTTAAGGCACAGAGAAGGAAGGCAAGATCATGTGTAAAATAATGTTCTGGGCTCTGGCTGTATAAGCTAAAATAGACGGCAAAGCCACAGCTCTCTGCACAGGAAATTAGTTTCCAGGTCTGTCACATACTCCCTGCTCTACAGAATGATAGGTCTGGACAGATCTGCTCATGTAGGGTCAGGTGAGAGCCCTGGAGCCTGCAGAGACATCAGATCGCAGCCTCAGGACAGGCACTTGGAGAGCAGGTAGAGCTGCAAGGAAGTGCACTTCAATGCCCAGCCTGGTGGAAAAGGCCTTGAGGGGAGCAGAGAAGACGACCTCTGCACCTGGGTAGGATCTAGGAAGGCAGCAGAGGCAAGGGCAGAGTCCTGAAGTGTGGATCAAAGCTCTGGAGATGTCTGTCTGGAGCTGCTGGCAGACTGGTATTGTTTTAGTAAGACTGCTAAATACCAACAGTCAGGGATACATAAAGGCAGCCAACAATGATGAAAACGAAAACCACTCTAAATCGAAAGGAATGGCCAGTGACCTGCAGTCTAAAGTCAATTCTCTATTTTCCCTTTTTATTAAAAACAAAACAAAACAAACATTTGCAGGAAACTGGTCTATGAGCAAGGAAAGGCCTGGGCTTGGGCACAGGTGAACCACATTGAGGAGCAGAGAGTGATCGAGTCTCAGATGCATTCTGTCAACCCACCACCCACAAGCTGCACTGAATACAAATGATAGTTCTGCCTCACCAATAATTAGACTCGGTGACACTCGGTGACAGTTTTCTAAGAAACATTCGAAATTTAAGGCAAAGGATTCAACCAATGAACAATCTTTTTAGATTTGCTAATATAGGAATAAAAAACCCTCCATTTCCACATAGGAGTTTCTTCCCATACATTATTTTAGTTTTGTTATCTAAGATACTGGCCCTTTAGTCGAAATAATCCTTCAGAAGGCAGTATGCACAGAAGGCTTGCTACTAGGCAGTCAGGTACAGTATCAAAGGTTTACGAAGCACCTTTTCAGAGCTCCTGAAGGACTAAGGGAGTGAGTGGCACCTCTGTCCAGGGAATTTCTTCCTGGGCAATCAGGAGGCCCACGCTCCAGAACAATCTTTAGGTGCAATTCACTGCAACCAGCTCCAGAGTGGACACCTGCTCCAGCTCCCAGGCAAGGCCAGGAACCTCCCAGGTCACATACCACACTTCAGGGCAGCACCTGCATTTCTTGTTTGTTTGTTTGTTTTTGTTTTTTTAAACAAGGTTCAATTCTTTTTTAAGATTTATTTATTACATATACATGTTCTGCCTGCATGTATCCCTGCAGGCCAGATGAGGGCACCAGATGTCATTACAGGTGGCTGTGAGCCACCATGTGGTTGCTGGGAATTAAACTCATGACCTCTGGAAGAGCAGCCAGTGCTCTTAACCCCTGAGCCATCTCTCCAGCCCCCATTTCTTGTTTTTAAACTAGCCACTGAAATAGAATTTTTTTGCCTTTTCCCATACATGTGAGCAACAACTTTATAGTAAGATGAGACACCAATAAGTTCAAGGGTCTCAAGAGCTCTCTTTCTGACTAGTTCTACCTTAAAACAACTTTAATTCTCTGTTCAACACCTCATTATGTAGGACAGTCTGCAGATCAGAGAGAGCTGAGCTAAGTGGAGCTCACGCTACTTGCCCGACCTCATTAGTATTCAGGCCTAACATGTGACACACTATATTAAAGATATCAGAAGTAGACCTTTCATACACAAGTCACGTCATTGTATGCACCCAATCGTTAATAACGACTTAACCAAGTGGTCCGAATGGCTAGAAACTGTGGAATTTTGGCCAAGGGAGCGGAGAGCAACTTC